CTAAATGTTAGACGATCTTGATTTATGTGATCATGAAATGTATGAGAATTCACTGGACAGGAGCCGGTTAATCTCAATTTAAATGTAGTCTAATTAAATCTTCCAGAGTGTATGTGTGTGTGTGTCTATATACACACAGATAATACACGCTGTTTATTTATGTCTTGTGCCAATAATGTGGAGTTTTGTATTGTTTTTTTAAGTGGGGAGCATTGTTTTATTAGGAGTATCCCCTAATACCTATCAGGAAAGACTGAACAAACTTGGACTTTTTTCACTTGAAAGGAGAAGGGCGAGGGGTGACCTAACAGAGATCTTCAAAATTATGAAAGGTTTTGATAGGGTAGACATAGATAAGATGTTTCCACTTGTGGGGGAGACCAAAACCAGGGGCCATCATAAAATAATCACCAATAAGAGAGTGGTGGGGATATGGAACTTGGTACCACAAATTTCTGATGGGTTCTTCGACTTGGAAGGAAAAGTGCTACCGACATCTGCTACCTACATGATTGAAGGAGTTGTTGAGGCGAATAGCATAGATGCCTTTAAGGGGAAGCTAGATAAGTACATGAGGGAGAAAGGAATATGCTGATAGGCTTAGTTGAAGAAGGGCAGGAGGAGGCTCATGTGGAGCATAAATGCCAGCATAGACCAGTTGGGCTGAATGGGCATGTTTCTGCGCTGTATGTTCTATGTAATACATTTTCAGATTTCCTCTTGGATGTAACTCAAGAGAAGGTGCAGTAGGGGATGTCCCCTGAAGAGCCACTGTGGTGTAATTAAAACAATATTACACTTAATGGAAGATTGCTTTCTGAATAGCAGTGTGCTGTACCATCAATGCACTGTGAAATCTGTGTAGTAAAATGGGGGATGGATGATTTCCCAATCTCAGCAATGCTTTTGGAGATTCTGTGAAGGCACGGTCCATTTAGGAACTTAAACTGTCGGGTTATTTTGCAAATAAAGTATTATACAATCATACCTAATAAATTATATTTATTTAGCATCTTGAAGAGCTTTAAAAAGATTAGAATGGAGTGAATATTGTATAGGTAAATGCAGCAGATTGCACCAGATATCCTATAGACAGTGATGTTAGAGGCAATATTAGGACCAAGTATACACGAGGTGAAATGTATTCACCACCAGATGCTTAAATGTAATCTGTTACCCAAATATCCTATGAGCCCAATTCTAATCCCTTGATGGAAAATATCATATTGCTTTGAAGTTACTTGAAGATATCCTGTTGATTCTCCAAGTTGGCACATATTCTGTGCCCAAGACACACTGTTCCCTTGCAATGCTTGTTTACTTGTCTTTGATCTTCAGCTTAAACGATTGTTAAAACTCTGTTCAAGAAGGAAAACTCTTTGGTGAACAAGTTGAAGAAAAACTGGAATTGTTTTTTAAAAATAATGAAATCTAAAAGCAATCCCAAGATTGGACCTGAGGAGGCCGATTTCATAAATAGTTAGCAACTCCATCTACGACAAAAGACATCTTTAATGTCAGACTTTGCGATATACGACAGACAATCAATAGTAGGTCAAGGTATAATGCTTAGTCTATTTGCAACTACTGCAGCATTACTGGATTCAACCTGTACATATTTCTGGATAGCGGAGATGAAGGCGCATTTGAAGATAGTATGAAGGTAGCAGAAATGAAAAAGATCCCATGACCAAAGGAATGCTTGTTTGCTGAGACAGGTGGCTGTTGTCTTCGAAGATAGATATTTTCTCACTCTAAAAGGTCGAGGACTATTCGGGTTATTTGGCTACACAGTTGAAAACCCTACTTTTGATATTTACGAGGACACCTTGTATAATTGATCCTGTTATACATGAAAAAACAATAACGTTTTGATTGTTTCTAACCAGTTTACAGGATAGTTGGAGTTGGCCCTAATTACATCCAACTTGGTTTGTAGACGGCCGAACAAGTCTCCAAACTATTCTCTTACACCTTTCAGAGGTCTATGAATGCGCCACTTGGCCTCCTCCACACCATGAAGATACCCGCCATCCAATGTAATGGAATAGAGGCAAATGATTTTATCATAAATATGTACCATAATCTTTTTTTGAAAGCTGGACCACTAGGATCTTAATTCCCTACCAATTGCAGTTCAATGCTCTTGGATCTACAATAAATGGCCCTTGGTCCTGCCCCAACTGAATTGTGCCACCCTACATATCGCCCCTATAGATAGTCTTGTGTTTCCTCACATGCATCAAGATCCTCTCATCAAAGCTCAATGTATCTGAATGCATATTTATTGCTAAAAGTGAAGACTCTTGGTGCTTGGGTATGTGATGCCTTAGGTGCAGAGCTCACTGCTTGCTCTGGAAATTTGGAGACCCTTGTAACATCATACAAATAGTTAAATGGGCAGTGAAAACACAAACTACAGTACACAGATCTTTGAAGATGCTTTACAGGCAATCCATTGAATACTACATATTGTTTTTTGTTAAATACGCATTTTAAATGCTTCACTATAGCCTACAATAATAACATGGATATTTTTCAATGTCCCACAAACAGCCATGAGGTGAATAACCAATTTTATTTGGGGGATTGTTGTTCAGGACAAGAGTAGAAACTCCCTTCTCTTATGAAAAGTGCCATGGGATCTTTAACATCCAGACAGGGCCTCAGTGTAATGTCTTATGTGGAGCACAGCACCTCCAGCAATACAACACACCCCAGTATTGCATTGGAGTGTCAGCCTAGACTGTATGAGTTCAAATTTCCAATGGGCGGACTTCGATCCCCAACCCATCCTGACTCGGAAGAAAGGGTGCTACCAAGCTGACATCTGCTGTGTGACATGTATGTGATTTAAGGAGTTTTCTAAGCAGACAAAATAAATGGCTCTGTAATGAGACAAAACTAAACAGCTCTAGATGTCTAATCATTGCTCTTAGCTCATTCCTCTAACATTAAGGATCATACTCATTGCTCTCTTCTGCACTGCCTCTAGGGCTTCGGAAGCCTCTTTATATCATGGTGACCAGAACTGTTTGCATGACTCAAGGCACAGCCTGATCAAGAAATTTAATAATAGTTCACACAGGGTAGCATCTTAGAGCGCTTAACAGTGGCAGAGCTTGATGCTGAGCTAGAGAGAGAGAGGGTCTGACTAAAGCTCTAGCTATCTTCTACTGAACTTCATTCCTCTTTGACTTACTTTGACTTCATCTCCTTAATATATCTATCTTTGATTTGTAAGATTTTTAACTTCTCACATCTTAACTTCTGTTTTTTTCACAAAATGCCCCAATATGGAAAGTAGCACTCAATGTATGTATTAGGTGCTGTTCAGTCGCTCTTTGAAGGCAAATTAACCATCAATCACATTCCTACACTCCTTTGACTTGCATCAGTTCATCAACTCTTGTTAATTGTTTTGTATATCATTTATCTTTGGGCTTTTGACAGTTCAAACTTGGAATGATGTTTATTATCTGATATACATTAGTTTGTAAAATTATTTACTGGTTGGGATCCACTCTTAAATTCTATATTTTCGTAGTTGGAGTGTTTTTCTTTTTAATTCTATTATTTATGTACTCTACAATTATAACAGTACGACCTCTTACATTCCCATAGCAAGCCTGGCTTCCCAGATTTTTTTACAGAGCTTTTCCAATCAATTCACTTATTTTCTATGGATATTCTCTTCCTCTTGAAGATATTTGTATACAGTACTTGGCTTGTTGAAATAGTACCTTTTAGCAGAAGGTGAAGGACTTGATTCAGTTTTGTGAGGACCCACTCACTAATAGATCCTGAATGAGCCTCTTCTCTCTGGGATCAGTGGACGACCAGCAGTGCAGTAAATACTGTACTATTCTTGTTCAACTTCTGATGAAAAGAAATTTGAACAAGCCTCTACCTTATGATGAAAAAAGCTGCCCCTTAAACTTAATTGCTAAAGTTTTTCACGTTAGCTTTCAGAAGAAACCATATCTCAATGAGGTTATCTCCTATTTTTAATATTGAAAGTCTAGAGCATTTACTTACTGCTCCACAAAAATGAGGCCTACACATTTAGAAGAGGCAGGGAATTTCTCTGGTAAACAGATAAGTTAATAGATAAGTAATAAAACTCCAAATGATCACCCCAGCTGAATATTTCTGGAGAATGATTTAAAGTACAGTTCCCTTTGTTACTTGATGTTATTTGATGAGCCTTGTTTTCATGGATGGTTGTAGATAGTCAAATTAACATGACTTAATACACGTGCAAACCTCTGACAGCAACTGTGTACTTTTATGACTCATAATATGATCTAATGCTTAGTGTATATCTGTGACCTGTTTAAATTCCCTCCACATCTCCCGTTGTCTAGCACTTGAGTTCTTTCTTTTATGTAAGCTATGCTAAACAATGTTAGTTCTAAAAGCACTGATGGAACTTTAATGTAAAAAAAGAGAAAAATGGAAATACAAACGGAATACCAAAACTGCATACTGTAATTTGATGTATTTTTCTGTTTGCTGTTTCTTGAATTTGCCTGAGACTACCAACATAATGCTCTATTTAGTCAGCTGCCAAATTTTGTTATACTTGGAGCTCACTGGAGTTAATTCAACCTTAACTCAAATAATTATGTAAAGTTATTTTATTTTAATAAACCTTAAGTCTCAAAATTTTATTCTCCATTTCAAATTGAATGTATACGGTTAGTCCGTTATCTGCTCTAATTATCACACAGGAAATGTGTGATGCAATGTGTTAGCAACATAACGTCATAACAATGAAAGTTAAATACTTTGATTTTATTGCTCCCTTCACTGTTCTGGAATCCGCTTCCAAAAGGGGAATCCAGAACAGTGTTCTGATTAGTAACCTGCAGTTTAGGCTACCTCAAATAAAAACAGAAAATGCTAGAAATGTTAAGTGTATCGATCAATATCTGGTTGGTATAGGCTACTGCCCCTTCAGTTTCTGAAAAAAACAAAAATTTGTTCTGTTCCTGCAGGTACATCTCCTACATTCTTAGATGCATTGGGAGCCAATGGTACAACCAATATTCAAAGTTCAATTACGGGAGTTTCAGCAAACAAAAGGAGATTAATAGAAGAGCGACGGGACCAACCTTTTGATAAGAGACTAAGGTTCAGTGTCAGACAAACGGAAAGTGCCTACCGATATAGGGATATTGTTGTCAGGAAACAAGATGGGTTTACACACATTTTACTTTCTACCAAGTCGTCTGAAAACAATTCCTTAAATCCAGAGGTGAGTAGCATTGTTTTCTTTTAAAATCGTACATTTGTAAGAGATTGCACCTTGATTGGTGAACAGGAAAACCTTTTCTTCAAACCCTACTGTCTATTTATTTGAATTCCGGTGTAGTTCAGGATGAAAACTGTGTTCTTGCCCAACAGTCAGTTCCACTTAAATGTATACCTCCTAAATGAATACGGATTGAAAGGAGCACCTTGTAACTCCACTGTGATATACTCATTCACGTTAACTAACTGCTGCATTTCTAGCTGTGAGTTTCTGTTAAGTGAATGCTTCTTGCACAACTTGAGATATTTCAGAGGCACTCTAGTTTACATCCTTTAACCTAAATATATACTGAGTGGTAAATGAGAGGTTGCGGCAAGCTTGCTAATTCAGTGAATTGGAACAGACTGCAAGATACTGAAGGAAAGTCACACCTGTTCAGTTAGTTAGTCTTGTGCGCCATCTGAAGGTGAAAAATGGGTATTGCAACTTTGGTTAAAACAACAAAATTACATTTATAGAGCGCCTTTCACGTCGGGAGGATGTCCCAAAGCGCTGGACAGTCGGGTCAGGACCCGAGCATGGGGGAGGGGTGATATAGGAGTGAGGGAAGGCAGAGAGGCGGGAGGGCGACTGAAGACATGATCGAAGAGGAGGGTCTTGAGACCGGCCTTGAAGGAGGCAAGGGAGGAAGCAAGGTAAATAGACTGTGGGATGGAGTTCCAGAGGGTGGGGGCAGAGAGGCTGAAAGTCCGGCCACCGATGGTAGAGTGGTCGGGCGGGAGACATGGAGCAGGCTGCAGCCCCCTGAACGGAGGGATCAGGCAGGTTGGTAGGGAGTCAGCAGGTAGGAGGGGGCAAGGCCATGGATGGCCTTGAAAGTGAGGACGAGGATCTTGAATTTGATCCTCTGAGGGATGGGGAGCCAGGGGAGTCGGGCGAGGGTGGGAGTGATGGAGTCACGGAGCCTGGTGCGCAAGAGTACACGAGCTGCAGAGTTTTGGATGATCTGCAGCTTGCGAAGGGAAAAGTTGGGAAGGCCGATGAAGAGGGAGTTTCCATAATCGAGCATTGATGTGACAAATGCGTGGGTTAAGGTTTTGGCGATCTGAGGGGTGAGGCAGTGGCGGAGTCTGGCAATGTTGCGGAGGTGGTGGTAGGCAGTGCCGGTCATGGCGCGGATGTGGGGGAGAAAGGACAGTTCAGGGTCAAACAAGATACCCAGGTTCCTGACTGGCTTAGTGAGGTTGAGTGTGTAGCCGTGGAGGCTGATGCTGCCAGCGCCCGAGGTGCGGAGGTGCTGGCGCGAGCCAATCAGGAGGGCCTCGGTCTTGCTGACGTTGAGTTGGAGAAAGTTGTCCCTCATCCAGGACTTGATGTCAGACAGGCAGTTGGTCAGGACGCCAGTAGTCCTGGAGTTGAGGGTGGAGGCAGAGAGATAGAGTTGGGTGTCATCCACATACATGTGGAAATTTACCCTATGTCTGCGGATGATGTCACCAAGGGGGAGCATGTAGAGGGTGAAGAGGAGGGGACTGAGGACAGAGCCCTGAGGAACGCTGCACAAGACGGTGCGGGGTCTGGAGGAGAAGCCACTTGCAGAGACTAAGTGGAGGCGGTGTGAAAGTTAGGATCTGAACCAGTCAAGGACAGAACCTTGAAGGTTGAGGTGGGAGGAGAGGTGGTGGAGGAGTATTGAGTGCTCCACAGAATCAAAGGTGGTGGAGGAGGATGAGGAGGCAGAGGGAGCCCTGGTCACACATGGGCAACACGGAAACCCGATTGGAGGGGCTCATGGAGAGAGTGGGAGGAGAGGAAAGAGTGAAACTGGGAGGCGACGGCTCTCTCAAGGACCTTAGACAGAAACCCGTATTGGTTAGTTTTGTTAAAGCCAGTACAGTAAATTGGTAGGAATTCATTATTATGGAGTGATATGGTGAATTGTTACAAGTGAACTGTTAATTTGTATTAACAAGTGTTCAAATGAAGTTTAAACACAACAGATGTAAACATCCTCTCCATAAAATATAACTGAAAGCATAAATAGAATGTGGTAGTGCGATAATATCCTTCTCACAATCCTATATCGTTCTTTCCCCCTCCCCCCACCCTAAATATACACGGCACTTGTTATCCGCCATTTAGCTTTTTTTCAGTAGTGTTACATTTTTTACTTTACCTGTTCAGTCTTCTCCATTTTATCTTTCAGTAACCGATAAACTTAAACATTTTATTGAACTCAGCAGTTTTAGTGCCAATTTCAGCAATGAAGTTGACCAAATTCATATTTCATCGGTATATGAATCATTTTTTGAAAAAAATTAAGCAGTCGCTGAAACTCCAACTGCTTGTACATCTCGTGTTGCTTTCATGTTCAGCTCAGTAATCTAAGAATTATTTGAAGAGTTTTCAAGTGTCCATTAGATGAGTTTATATACTTGTTCTGTTGATTCCTTCTCATGAACTGTACAATTTCAAAGCCAATTATTGTAAGAGATCTTTCCAGTGCCATTTGTGGCTCAATCCTATAATCCTATATAGTTAATCACAAATAAGTTTCCTCCTAACTCCGTACCATCCTGCTCGGTCCCTCCACTCAGCGGGCCCCGGCCTGCTTCACGTACCCCACCTCGCTCGCCCCACTATTGGGGGCGGACCTTCTACCACTCTGCCCACGCCCTCTGAAACTGCGTCCCGCAGTCCCTCCGTCTCGCCCCCTCTCTTGCCTCCTTCAAGACTCATCTCAAGACCCTTCTCTTCGACCGTGCTTTCGATCACGCTGCTTTCCTCCCTGCCCTCCACCCTCTCCGATCCTGACCCCCAGCTCGGGTCCGAAACTCTTGACTCTCCAGAGCCTTAGGACGTCCGCTCAACGTGAAAGGCGCTATACAAATATTGCTCAGAGCTCACACAGTTGGTAGCACTCTTTCCTGAGTTAGAAGATTGCAAGTTCAGAGCCCAAGCTGGTATTGCAGTTCAGTATTATCGGAGGTGCAATCTTCCAGATGAGACGTTAAACCAAGATCAAATGCCTGTTCAAGTGGATGTTAAAGATTTAATTATACTGTTTTAAATACAAAGGACATTTCTCCTGGGACCATGTCCAGATTGAGTGATCTTTCACTCTGGTAGTTTGTGGGACCTTACTAATACAAATGGCTGCCAAATGAAGTCAACACTTCACAATAATTATCTGTGAGGTGCTTCAAGATGTTTTTGTTGTGATGTGGCACTTTCAAATTGCAAGTTCTCACTTTAAAATGTCAGTCCTACTGTTTAGTTAGAAATTGTTTTCGTGAAATTTTTTTTCATTTGCACTAGGTAGGAAACATCAAATACATCAAATACTGTATGTGCGTGGAGAGAGCTGGAGAGTGGGATTAGATTAGCTAACTCTTGTAAAAAAAAATCTCCAGCTCAAACTTGGACTGAATGGCCTGATTATGTATGGCATTTCAGTTGCCCTGTTCAAGTATCCAATAAAACTCTTCACATCTACATTTGTTATTCCCCCTCCCCCTTACAGTCCTGTCCTGAGTATATGCTATTGCAAATGCAGAAGCGGTGGGAGTGCATCGAGGTCTAATTTACAGCTTGTGCTAACCACGCGTGCCTGAGGAGAGAACACAGGTGCCTGTGACTACGTAATTAATATTGATCAATGTCAAACTATCAGGGTGATTTTGTAATCCTTTATGTTATTACTGTTTAAAATTAGAATTAGAGGCACCAGTAATTCTTGTGCTCAGTGAGTGGAATCGAAGTTGCCAAAGGGATTTGCTGGAAGAGAGCAGGAGAGGGGTATTTGATTTATCATTCACCACGTCCAAACAATATGAGGCAGCTATACGGCAAATAGGAAGCTGGGCTCCATTGCCAAAAGTTCATTTCCCCACAGATTGTGGAATCGAGCTACAATTCTGCGACAAAAGGGGATACCATTAAGGGGTTTGCTGCCACATAAGGTGGTTGCCCAGGGCCTAAAAGTAAGAAAAGAGGAATGACTGGATAAGATGGTGTTTATTTTTCCATTCAAGCGTTCTACAGTGCTTTTCCTCATTTTCCCCTTGCATATTTTTACTGCCAGTCCCTTCTTTTCATTGTATCCTCCTCGCATCCCTCAATATATGCCCATTTCTCACCTTGTTGATTAATATCACTCACTCTAAAGAGTAAGAAGCAATTTCCAGAATAAGTTGTACTCAACTTGTGGGTAATACTGTACCACTCTTTAGCTCAACTTTGATAAGAAACAGCTCTTTACTCTTGTGATGAGAGGTAGTTAAAGTGTAACTTGTAATATAATTTCAACTTGTTCTCTTGCAATTTGTATTTAAATAGCTGAAAAATTATAAATCAAAGCAAAATGTTAATACAATGTATGCAATAAAATACGACAAAAACTGCATAAATTGTTGAGATTAGAATTGGTTATCCTGGATGTAAATGCATAGTATTTACTGGGGTGTTAAGTAAAACATTTGTCCCCCATCTTCAACTTCTTCAGTTTAAAGAGTATTTGTTGTATTTTTTTTACTAAGTTATTATGAGAGAGTTCCAGTTAATGTTGACATTGTGGAAAAGTAGAAGGTAGATTCTTCTGCTGACTTAGGGAGCACTCTTTACATTTGGAGGGAGGATATTTGCTTGTGGAATTGCATAGAAACTGAGAAAAGTTATGAAATAGTACAGCTGTCACAATTACCCAAGAGTGCTAATTTAATGTAGTTTGCATGATGATGATGATTATATTGCTACTAATCTTTGTTAAATTATTGAATGCTAGTCTTGGGTTATCTTAAGGTGGTTGGTTCATTTTATTAAGGGTAGAACCTTTTGTATCCTCGCAATTACCACTGTACAGTTAAAATTTGAAACGAAAAGCTATTTTGAGCAGCTTCATGTATCATTGATTTCTAAATGTCAAACGTTTAAATTTTAAAAAGACCTTTCTTGCAACAGGTTGTGCACCTTTTATTGGCGGTAACGGTTGGTCCCAGCGCCCT